TTTTGGCTTATATTATAAAGAGCGCAGGAGGTGGTAGGTGGATTTATAGGGTGTTTAAAACCTTATAGATTGCGTATTTAGATATAAATGTGACTATTTTAAGCAGCACAAAACTGTATTTTATATTTTCAATGAAAGATCCGATCCAACAGAACGCTTTGGAAACACTTGGACACCATTAAACCCTCGTTCGCCTTTTTGAGCACATAAAGACCTACTCGAAATAAAATGGCTGCAGTTCTTGACTTTATTGTACAATTGTGGTTTTTGTACTTTTGTTGTCAAAAAGTGAGAATTAAGGTCATAAATTAGTTATTGGAATATTATCAGAAATGCACTTGCATAAAAAAAATGTAGAAAAAAAAAGACAGACCCCGCTGGGGCCTAGAAATATAAAGCTAAAGATCATGTTATGTCAAGTCATTTTAGGCTGAAAGGACAAATAAATGGTGTTGGACAAATGTCACAACCAAACTTTCTTAAAATAGCCTGTTTAAGGAACGTTTTAACAAGAAAACGTTCTTAGTGCAACTGACTTTTGTTTACTATTGTTTAAATGTAAAGATGATGAAATTCTCAGGATGTTTTAAGTGCCAAGAACATTTTTGTAAACCTCGGAACAAAATTGTTCTGAAAGTTCAAATAATATGAACTATTCATCCTATTCAACAACATGACTTGGCCTACTGAAATGATTAAGTTCCCACAACCTAAACTTGAATGTTTGGAAAATGTTTAGAGCAGGGGTGCCCAAACTCGGTCCTGGAGGGCCGGTGTCCTGCAGAGTTTAGCTCCAACTTGCCTCAACACACCTGCCTTCAATTTTCTAGTATGCCTATTGATGGGCACCCCTGGTTTAGAGCATTTGGAGCGTTTTAGAACATGAATATATTAGCTAGGAGGATGTATATTACATTTAAATAAGCATTAGTTTAAGAAGAATATTCGTAAATATTAACGTAACAGGATTGCTAGGGGCTTTGACGGAGGATGTATTGGCCACCGCCTAACGGGTAAACCCTTCCCCCGCACGCAAGCATCATCCCCGGGGGAGGCGACCTGGAGGTCACAGCGCTGGGGAACGCTCTTAAAGAGCTCTGGAACGTGCTCAGAGTCCTATATTCACAGGCGAACGATTCGTGCTTTAACAAAATTGGGGAATAGAGTTCATATAAGAAGGCTAGTATAAAATATAAGGGGATGCACAGGTCCTGTAAAAAAAAAAAAAGACTTTAATATTATTTATGTTTAACATTAGAAAGTAGGCCTAAATGTTACTAACACCATTAAAATGGTCATATTCAGTTCTGTTTCTAAAGAGATCCAGAAATGTTTTACAGTTTGATATCAAATCTTTTTAAGTTCTATGATGTTGTCTGATATTTCGGTCAAGATGGTGTTTTTGTCAAATAAAAGCAGTAAAAGTCCAGCCGTGGTATGTTTTGGATGGCCATTTTGAGTTATTACTTTAGAAAATCTAAATCAAGTACGTTAAACAAGTTCTTTACAATCTCATTGATCTGGATCTCTCAAGCAAGTTATCTAAAATATTGTTATTAAGTAATCCAGCTAGTATTGACCAGTACCAAGTATAAGACCCAAATTCAATCAAAACAGACACTATTTGAAGACTATAAAATGTAGCCTACAATTCTGAAGAGATAATAAAAGACAACGATAATGTTATCTACTGATAAGAAAGAGACATTGCGTCTTTGAGAGCAGCGCTCAAATATGTGAGAATGTAATGTATTGAGTTGATGATGTGTTCAGTCTGACAAAGGCCTACATATTTAAACAACGGGCACCCCCGAATCCCCTCAAATGAATCCCGAAATAAACAGGCCATTAGGCCTAATTTAACACGGCGAGGGCCTTATGATATTAGAATTCTCCAGCTGACACAAACGCTCCCCATTCATTCAAATCTAAATAAATAAGAGGCGAGTTTGGTGGGCTTTTGTATTGTTGTTTAATCTGATCTCTTCAAGGCCGCCCCTACCTTCCCCCATGCAACCTTCATTTATACATGCATGGGGTCTCTCTCTCCCCCCGTCCCACCCTCTCCAGCTCTCCATTGTGTTCAGTGCCCGAGGCGCTGTGCTTCGCGTTTTCTCGCGGAATAAAGAGACAGAGGAAGGGGAAGAGATGAGTGAGTGGCCAACAGCGCCGGTGTTAATGTCCGCTCATCGAGACATTGTCACTTGCAGGCGTGATCTGTCATTCAAACCCTTCAGACCAGCAGAGAACGGGCCGAGCCACCGTCTGCACTTGTGAAAACAGTTGCTCCTGAAATACGTAATATGTGCCTATCTATCTATCTATGTTCTATTGCTCTTATCATTCTCGTTCTGTAAATAAATATTTAAAAAAATTAAAAGCTTTACATTGCTTTGCTATTCAGAATACATTAAAATAAAAAATAAAAAACTATTAAAAATGAAAAATACAATAATTACTAGAAAAATACAAATTAATCTCATTAAAAGTACGAAATGGTTGAAAACAGAAGTGTTTGACTGAATTAATGAATGAATGAATAATTATTTTTTATAATAATAATAATAAACATTAAAAGATCTATAAAAAATTTATGCAAAAACACAATTAATTTAAAAAGGTCCGAAATTGTTAAAAACAGAAATTTTGCCTTACATAGCTTGGTACAATGTTTTATTATTATAACTTAAAAATATAAATAAATAAATAAATTTCTGCTTATATAATAATAATA